TTGCTTAAAGCACCAGTACACAGCCCCAGCCTTGCAGAAAGAAGATTGTCGCGACCGAATTCAAATTTTGTGGCCGGGCGGGGCCACGAAAAGATGGCCTCCGAAGCGGTACCGGTGTCAGCCTGACACCTGCAGCCGATGCATGGGTGTACTCGTGGTTTAAGGGTGGCGACCTTGAGATATCATCATTGGACTCACCGCCCTGACGTGATTCACAATGATTTCGTTCTCTTTCATTGTACTCATGTAGTGCTACTGGGAGTTCTAACTGGGTATGTATTTCAACAGTTCATAGGGGTACTGAGTCTACTGACTGAGCTAGGCCCATAGGTATGCATAGCCCAGGCTTCTTGGATGCAGTGGGGTGTGGTATCTATACCGGAGTTGCAGCACATTGCCAACTTGTGCAAAGTTTTGTCCACAGTGATGCTGCTTCTGCAGACGGTGCGCAAACGTATGGGCAGATCGAGAGGAAGCTTGGGTGGGTGGGTACCTGGTATGGGTAGGAGAGATTTCGGTGACAGTATGAGAGGATGGCAGGCTGCAGGGACCTATAGATCGACAGGAAGTTGGGTGGGTGGGTGTCTGGTATGTGGAGGAGGAGAGATTTCAGCAACAACATCAGAGGACAGCAAATAACCCTTTGGGCACAATCAAGGTGCATTTGGACGCTTTCTGGTCCAGGTGCATTTGGACTGGTGGGTGCCTGGTTATCTGATGCTGAACCCCTGCCCAGCAATAAACTTAGCAATTGGGCCTCACTCCACTACTCAAACCTTCTAAAAACATGTATTTGGACGCTTTCTGGTCCAGGTGCATTTGGACGACTCCAACATTTTGATTGTATCCCGACGATTACAAGTTCCAGACACAGATCATAGTAGTGTTGTGTAGTCGAGCGAGACCCATTTCCTCATCATCCAAGCTAAATGCCAGTGTCTCTATCATATCCGTGGCGGTGTCGGGTTGCGGCAATAATACTTAAGAGCCAAGCCATCGAAATGTGGAGACCAGGCGTGACTGTCTAGTATATGTTGCTGCAGTTCATGCTATCAACATGATGATCGATACATCGGCACGGCATGAAAAAGTGTGACAGCAGGGATCTCTGTCAAGATTTCGACCAAGTGCATTGCCACCATTTTCCCCAGAACACACTAATGCACCCTAGTCACGGCCATGTTGGACAGGAAAGATTCCTCGTAGACATTCCTACTGAGGGCGCATTGTGTTCCAGGGAAGAGGGTAGTTCTTGTGAGCGCCACTCAAGCAAAGTTGTAGAGAGTTACACGCAGATGCACACTACGATCTTTTGCCACGCGTGCTTTTGTCGACGACAAGACGAAGAACGCGGGTGTAAGCCAACGAGTCCTCTCCTAGTAGTCACAGCGCAGGTTGTAATTGTATGCTGGGAGCAGCTCAATGCATATAGTTCAATGTCAGGTGCTTCAAAAATCCAGTCTCCCGTTTTTAGAGGGTGTGTGTGTGTGTGTGAGAGAGAGAGAGAGAGAGAGAGAGAGAGAGAGAGAGAGAGAGAGAGAGAGAGAGAGAGAGAGAGAGAGAGGCTCGCTGGTGAGAAGCTCAGTGCATCAAAGTGATACAGAGAGAGTTTTTATGAGTGCCACAGATGTGCAGCAGTGACAGCGCATGTTGTAATTGACAAATTGTATGGTGCGAGCAGCTCAGTGCATATGGACAGCCTTGACGATCAGAGCGAGTTGTGTTCCGCGGAAGAGGGTAGTTACTATGAGCTCCACTCAAGCAGATTTGTAAAGATTCGGGGTGTAAGCCGACGACTCCTCTTCTAGCATGTTGTAGTCGTCGTATTGTGTGAGCAGCTCAATGCATATGGACAGTCTTGATGAAGTTATGGCACAGAGTGGACCGCCTTGAAGAAGTCATTGGGAGAGAGGGACAACCTTGATGAAGTTATGGGACAAAATGGACAACCTTGACGAAGTTCTGGGACAAAATGGGACAACCTTGATGAAGTTATGGGACAGAATGGGACAACCTTGATGAAGTTATGGGACAGCATGGGACAACCATCAAGTTATGGGACAGAATGGGACAACCTTGATGAAGTTATAGGAGACAGCATGCTCTTGCACAAGGCCTGAGGAGTACAACCAACCAGATCTATTATTAGATCTGGTATTACATATTTTTTTAAGGCATACATAATATTATTTCAAGCCATAGAACTATTATTAGATCATGCCCTCCAATTGCCGAACGTCTACTGTAAGGTGAACCTTTCAGACGTTGATTCTGATTTTTTTTTTCCTCAAGCTATTGCAGTAGGGGCAAGCTCCAGACTGCCCTTCCTTTGGAAATCGTGCTGAAAATAGATTGCCAAGCCAATCAAGAATTGCGCCCTGTGCTAGCGTTACATCATATGATGTAACCGCCAAGCACACTGCAAGGTCAGTAAGTGAACCAATATCGACAAAAAAACTACCCCAGTCCAGCCTGAATTGTGGAACAGGTTTCAGAGGGAGGGTTTTGACAGCCAAACAAATGCACCACCCATCTGGTGCAGACTGATGGGATCACCTTGCAGTCGACAATTGTCCCTGTGGGAGAAAAATGTTGAAGGCTCAAGGGTGCAGGGATCCATTCATCCATCCCTCTGCCCGTCCCTCCATCCCTGCATCTATTGGTCTGTCCATCAATCCGTTGATCCGTCCAGCATCCGTCTATCTGTCCATCCACCCATGCATCCATCCATCCATCCATCCATCCATCCATCCATCCAACCGTCGATCCGTCTATCCATTCATCCACCCGTCCATCCAGGCATCCGTTTATCCATCCATCCATCCATCCATCCATCCATCCATCCATCCGTCCATCAATCCGTTGATCCGTCCAGCATCCGTCTATCTGTCCATCCACCCATCCATCCATCCATTCATCCATCCATCCATCTGTCCGTCCGTGCATCCATCTATTCGCTCAGCCATCCGTCTGATATCGGTCCATCTATACATCCGTCGGTCCATCCATCCATCTACCGGTCCATCCATACATCTACCGGTCCATCCATCCATCCAACCGTCCATCCGTCCGTCCATCCATCCATCCATCCGTCCGTCCATCCATCCATCCGTGGGTCCACCATCATCCACCATCTGTCCATAGATTTACCTGTCCAGCCATCCACGGATCCATCCACCCACCCATCAATCCACCCGTCCAGCCGTCCATCCTTCCATTCACGCATATATCTTTGTGTCTTTCCCTCCCTCCCTCGATGCTCCCCAGTGTCGATCCTCCCACATTCACCACAAACATGTGCATGCCTCTATTAGTCCATCTATATCTATCTATCTATCTATCTATCTATCTATCTATCTGTCTATCTATCTATCTATCTATCTATCTATCTATGTGTGGTCATGTTGGCTATACACAACTCCGCAAAAGAGACAAAATGCATGAATGTGCCAGAGTGTATCTATATTTAGCTATCTGTGTGTGTAAGTGGGACCGTTCCACCAGGGAATAATCTGGTCCCGCTACAATAGCAGAGTGGAGAGAGTAGAGTACTTCCCGTCCTCCCGCCAGCACAACACACCCTCCTTGTGATTGCATCGGACCGGAGAGGTAGGCTGGGTACGTCATTCACGATCAGCGTGCGTTGTGTTCGGGGGTAGAAGGTAGCGTGCACTGTTGGCGGGAGATCTGGTGGATCGGACGGTCACACCCTGTTGGGCTTCTTTTTCGTTTTTCTTATTTTTATTTTTAAATGGAGCACGGCCTTCAGATATCATCATTGAATTGAACGGACCCAGGTAACTCAGAACCTTTTTTTTTTTTTTTTTTTTTTTGATTGGGTCTGGATTGGAACTTGGGTCTGGATTGGACCTTGGGTCTGGATTTCAACATTTCATTTGGGTGTGCCAACTGAGCTACCAGGCCCATTGGAAACCTGTTGGATATTTTCTCAATTTCTACGTGTCATCCTTGAGCAGGGGCCATGCTAATTAATCTTCTCTTCTCTATTTCTTAAAAAACAACAAAACAAAAAAAAAAATTCTCTGTATCGTCGTTCCAACTCTCTTAACGGATGTCCCCCGGAAGGACACGCGGGGGCAAGTCCCTCTGGCAGCGTTGAGTTTCTTCAACGTCGCCTGAATCTGGACGTGTTTGTGGAGATGTGCAGGCAGAAATCGCGTTGACATTCCTCAACCAATCGCGTTGACATTCCTCAACCGCACATCTCCACAAACACGTCCAGATTCAGGCGACGTTGAGGAAACTCAAGGCCGCTACCGTAGTAGGACTTGGGCCCCGGTGGATTTTCGAAATCTACCCCTTCCCCTTCCTTGAGATCCGAAGCAATTCCCGCCAAATCAGTCGAAAAAGTTTTGAAAACTATCCAAGTCCGCGTCGAGTAAACATTTCCCGCCAAATCCCTCTAACATTGGTAATGCGGACGAGCAAACATTTCCCGCCAAATTCCCCTGAGCTGGTATTACCGTTCCACTCTACGAAGAACGAGAAGGGAACCAGCAGGATTCCAGCTCTTTGGAATTGGCGGGAAATGTCTGGCCTCATCCAGCTCTTGGAATTGGCGGGAAATGTTTGGCCTCATCCAGCTCTTGGATTTGGCGGGAAACGTTTGGCCTCACGAGAAGGGAACCAGCAGGATTCCAGCTCTTGGAATTGGCGGGAAATGTTTGGCCTCATCCAGCTCTTGGAATTGGCGGGAGATGTTTGGCCTCGTTAGAACCTCTCTGATTTCCATCATGAGACTATGGGCCCTCGCCACACGGCACACTCAACGAGAAAAAAAAACGAGTGTATCTTGCCACCCACTGTGGGCAAATGCACTCGTTTTCATTTCGTCTCATTTCGTTTCGTGCGCCATGTGTGTGGGTGGGGGGGGGGGGGTCATTTAGTACTGCCTCTTTTCTTTCTTTCCCTTTTCCTTTTCATTTTAATTTTTTTCTGAATCCTGCGAAACACGGATCGTACATTATACTGATGAGAACAGATACTTGAGAGATACCATACTGTGGAAGAAAATGATAAGGAGGACGAGGAGGAGGAGGAGGAGGAAGATAATTATGAGGAGGATGAGAAGGAGGAGGAAGATAATTATAAGGAGGAGGAGGAGGAGGAGGAGGTAGAGAAAGAGGAGGGAAGAGGAGGGAAGAGGAGGCAAGAAAAAGAAAGGGGAGGAAAAAGAGGAAGAAGATGGAAGAGAATGCGGAGGAAGAGGAGGAGGAAGAGGAAGAGGACGATAATGAGAAGGAGGAGGAGGAGGAAGAGGATAACGATAAGGAGCAGGAGGAGGAGGAGGAGGAGGATAACGATAAGGAGAAGACGGAGGAGGAGGAGGAGGAGGAGGAGGAGGAAGAGGATGAAGGTGGAAGAGAAGGAAGAGGGGGTGAGGAGGAAAAAGAAGAAGGTAGAGGAGGCAGGAGGAAGAGGGCGACAAGGCGATCTGAAGTAGAAGAAGCAGATGATGAAGTTCTTCTGAGAATGGGCACCGAACGAATACGACCGATGGAAGGGGGAGGAGTGGAACTGTGGAAGAAGAAGAGGACAAAGTGGAGAAGGAAGAAAAGAAAAGGAGGAAGAGGAAGAGGCGGACAAGGAAGAGGAAGAAGAGGAAGAGGAAGAGGAAGAGGAGCACGAGGAGAAGGAGAAGAAGGCAGCCAAGAAAGGAAAGAAGAGGAGGAGGAGGACAACCACGATGTCGTAGAAGTGACAGATAGATTATGACGATTCGCAAACGGAGCGAATAGCTATTCAGAAAACACAAAGGGCCTCGCCGATGGAAATAGCGTACAGCAGCAGCGGAGATGGTGGATCTGCTGCAGTCAGTCTTGCCGGAGTGAGGTATAGGGGATTGATGGGGGATTTCTGAATCGTTTTCTTTTTTTTCTTTTTTTCTTTTTTTTTTTTTAGGTATAGGGGATTGATGGGGGATTTCTGAATCGTTTTCTTTTTTTTTTTTTTTTTTTTTTTTTTTTTTAGTGTGGTCCGATGGACCACGGATCAGATATTAAACTGAGCAGATAACAGATACTACACTTGATCTATTTTTAGCCAAAAGGCCGAGAAAGGAATCGTTTTCTGAACTTTGCCTAATTCTGAAGTTTGCCGTAGTAATTTAATTTGCCAAGTAGCTAAAATTGTTCTTAGCCAAAGCCGGGTAATGGCCCCGGATCTCAATCTTTCTTTCTTTTTTTTTCTTTTTTTTTTCTTTTTTTTTAAAAATCTCAAGCTTTCAAACTTCTATGTAAATTTTCTATATGGGACGCTGGGCCCGGTTCCCAGCACGTGTTGCTCCCCACGAATAGATTGAAGCTTTATTCAAAAAAAAAAAAAAAAAGGGCACACGGAAAGGAAAAGAACGAGTGCATCGGCCCGCAGAATGCGGCAAAAGACGTTCTTTACAATTTACAGTAAACGGATGAATTATCATTCCATTTCGAATTCCCACTTCCGAAGCTGAAACCGGTTTCAGCATCGAGTCCCAACCTGAACGAAACTTATTTGCGAGGAAAAAAAAAACAGAGGCAACCTGCGCAGCAAAGCGCTTCGGGACCGAGTTCGTGCCATCGATACGAACAGACTGGCCCTCTCTTCATTCTTCTTTCCCTCTCTCGTTCCTTCCCCCGAGCCTGTTCATCCCGTTTCTTTTCTCTGCGCTGTTTCGCCCTCCTCCCCCCCTTGTCTTGCTTCTCTCTCTCTCTCTCTCTCTCTCTCTCTCTCTCTCTCTCTCTCTCTCTCTCTCTCTCTCT